CCCAGCCACGCTGGGGTCGCCGCAGCCTGACTGCAAAGCAATGCTTCGGCGCTATTGACGTCAAAGGGATGCTGACCTCTCGAGGTCCGAAACCCCCGGCAACGGAGAACCAGACAAAAGCCCCGAGCAGTGCTTTATAACCATGCAGAAGGCCCACCTGGCTGGAATCTTTTTTAACCTCCTAATTTAACCAGAGGATCCTACAATACAAGTGACAAGAGTCCCTGACCTGCAGTGCATTTTTTTTTTTTTTGTCTGCTAGCACTTTGAATTAAGTCTCCTTTTGCTCTTCGCGTGAAACATACATCACCTTGATGACTCATTTTCGCCTTCCCTGTCTTCTATACATCCTCAACGCCGCATCGCCCACGCACAAGTATTCGCCTTCCCGAGGTAAGGCTTTGCCGACCCCTTGTTGCTTTCTGAAGCCTAGAGACAGGCAGCCGTGCTCAAGCGACATACCGCCGCCCCCGCAACAGCCTTCGCCGATCGAGCGAGGCACCAACGTACACCCGAAAAGGTGCTCGACACAGACGGGACCCTGCCGGGACCCTGAAACAGGCCCTGCCTTTTCCCGTGGAGTTTGGGCAAATGGCAAGAGCAGGCATTTTTGGTGTAGGAGGTGAAGTCTGCAGCCCTGTCCCGGGCATCGAGGCTCGCCACAGCTGAGGATCCGAAACCGAAATCGGCTCCGGCAGGCTTTGCAAGCGCTGCCGTGACTAGGAGGAGATGCTCGTGTCCCAGCTCACGCGTATCCCCGTACAGACAGCTAAGCCCACCGTCGCTTTGCTCATGGGTACGCAGAATAGGCGTTTCCAATCTGGCCCGGCATTTTGGGGGCGATAGCACCCCACAAAGGAAGGTGGCGGTAAGAGAGCTGCACGCCTCCCCATCTGGAGCATCGCAGGGAAAGTTCCGGCCTAAAGTAGCCGTGGGGGAATCGCTTCCTAAGAGTCCGAGTCCCATTCCCTCCAAAGTGGGATTCGGGAAAGTGTGGGGGGGTCCCCATCCCCGGACACAGAGGGACGCCGCGGGCCGCTCCCGCCGGCGGCACGAGGAAAGAGGAGACCCACAGCCAGCACGCACGGAAGGAAGCCCTCGCCCCCGGACGGCAAACCGCCCTGGGAAGCGCACCAGCTGCTGCTTAGCCATCACTCTGACAGGCTTCCCCACGTCCCAGACTCTCAGCTCAGCAACCGCACCGTTTCAGCCAGGGAAAAAGCGTTTTTTCCCGGCACGGGGCGGGCGGCGCAGCCACGGCCCGCCGGCTGACCGTTAGATTTGTTCTGCAGCATTTCCAGAGACAATCGTGAAAAGCAATCCTCAAGTCAATTAAATTTCAAAATCCAATTGAACAGATATTTGCCCCAGCGAGGACCGTGGCGTTGGGTCGACTCAGAACAACTCCTGAGAAAGGAGAATAACCCGAAGGAAATCTCTCCTCTGGGGTTCGTGCCGGCCCCTGCCAAGACCGACACGGAACCCTCTCCTGCCCGTTCCGCTCTAAAAACGTACAAACACAGGACCGAGGATTTAACGACGAGGAAAAAGCCATCTGTGCACGCAACTGATAATTGCTGGGATTACTGTCATTTTCTGAAGCTGGTGCCTCTAAAAATGAACCGCTTGGTAATTTAATTAAGTTGCCAATAAAAAAAATTAAAAAAAAAAAGAAAAAGGAGGGCTGCTGTGAAGTACCAAGCTGGGATAAGGACGGGCCCCGAGAGCCGGTTTCGAAGGAGCCCGAATCCCTGCCGGAATTACTTTAATCTGCAGTTCAGCACAAAGTCACCAGCGTGACTCCCGTATCAAAGCGCTGTGCTGAGTGACGGGCGCGGGACGCGCTTCGTACTGCTAAAAACTCATTAGGCCATGAAATAACTCTATCCTGCCAAGGCAGGAAAGAACAACGGATGCCGGGTTTGCGTTATCGGCGTTATTTAGCCCAGCGATCCTTAGACATTTGGGTCAAGTTTCTACAAATTCGTGGCTTTCATCCGAGCGGGGCATCGCGCGGCCTCACCCCCTGCTCCGACCCGCCTAATTGAGGTCCTTCTCCGGCGCTGCCGTTTGCGTGCCGACAATTAACCGTACACCAACGAGGTTTGATTTAATTTCTGCCTGCGCCAGGGCATATATCAAAGCTCCAGCTCTAATAAGGGGCCCATTGTATGCCATGAGGGAGGGGAGGCTCTGGAAGGTCCAGGGATCACGCTCCGCCCGCTTCCCTCTCCTCTCCGTCCTTTACCTTTCCACCGCTCTCCTCCTGCTCTGCCAATTTCCAGCTCCGGCTCCTTCCCTCGTGTTTTCCTCCGGGCAGCCGTTCACCCTTTCTCCTAGACGCCGTTCCCGCTCCTACTTTGTTTCCTAAAATAAGCAACCACGTGCTCGCCCTTTAAGCATCGTTAGGTTTCAGGAGCAACACTCCGATAAGACTCAAGGGAGAGAGAAGCGAGTTCATAAATCTCACTCGAAGGCAATCTGCAGGCTCGGGCAGTCTAAGAACATCCACTTCGTGACCGTGAGGTTTGGCTCATAACCGGAGGGCCGGCAGTTGGCTTTTCCCTCTTCCAGGCTATCAGCCCTGAACAGACTCCCTGGGAACTAACTTGGGTCACCCAATATGATGCCTTCAAAATGCCCTTCTCGAGGTGTTGCATTTATACATACCTTTTAAAGGTGATGACTTTCACGTAAGCACAGCAGTTACTGTCGTTTGCTTAAATGATCTCTAGAACTAACGGGAAAAAGTTAGGAAGCAGCATCTTAAAGTTGCAAAAAAAGAAGTGAAATGCACTTATAGGATTCGTTCAATGCAAAAAATCTGAGAAAAGCACAATTAGACCTGCAGAAAGCCACAAGCCTCAGGAAAACAGACCGCAGAAACAAAAGTTGCCGGGATTTTTCCGCTCTAGCTGCCGTGCTCCCACACAGGCTGGACCTCACCCGACCAAAATCCTGCCGCGCGCTCTCACCGGGGGACGTCTGTCCCTCGTGGGCAAACCCAGCCAAAACCGCGGGGCCGCAGCCCCTTCCCCGCGCACAAACCCGCGGGGCCGCAGCCCCTTCCCCGCGCACGCGTGGCCACAGGCAGGCTCCCGGCGCCACGCGTGCCGCTCTCCGGGAGACATTTGGCTGAAACCGTCTGCGCGATCTGCTGCCGAAGTTGCTAAAAATAAACCGGCAATGCTCAAAGAACAAGTCCTTTTGATGCAAATACCCAACTAAAAAAAGAAAAAAATAGGCACTTCTGTCGGTTAAATGCAGTAAGTAGGGATACGGGCTTCGGGGTTTTAGCTCCACCGGTCCGTGCAGTGCCAACGCTACCCAGCGCGGAGCCCTCCTGGCAGCCGAGGGGCTCGCACACCGGGGCCCTGCCCGGGACCATCGCTGCCACGTGCACATGAAGGAGTCACAAGGCCTTTAATAAGCAATACATACTGATAAGCGGGGGGTTTACTTACACTTGCATGGAGTTTTCCTTTTTTTGACATCGCTAAAAATTTGTTGCTGAAAACTCCTCGTATTCCTACAATCCCCTGAGACACAGCAAATATTTCCAAAATACCTAGGATGACAGAAATCCCAAAATAAATCACAGTTCTTTTCACATCAGTGTGACAAAGAAAAAAAAAACAAAAAAACGCCCAACAGTCTCATAGATTGCATTTCGTCTCCACACGACTCCACGCAACGCTCCCGCTCCGTCCCTCCGCCCCGCAGAGCGACCTGCGTCGACTCCCGGATGGCTACAGGGAGGCAGGATTGTTTGTTTGTTTGTTTATTTTAAAAAAGCTGCTGTTTAGACGACAATTTCCAACTCGTCTGCGACAGAGCAAGTTCAGCCCTGGGGAAATCCCTCTTAAGGGTGGGAAAAGCCCCCCGGGCCTACATCCAGCCTGCAGCAATCCGCTTTGCCCATCTTCCTCCCGCACGTGCCGGACTCTGGAAACAAAGGTGTCGCACGCACCACTCAGGGCTAGAAGCACCAATAACGGTTTCTTAGGCCCCTCCTCACAGCAGGACTCAAATAACAGGGCGCTACGCAGCCCAGCCATGAGAAAACAGGCCGTTTATCCCCTCAAACGGGTATTTTCCAAGGCGGGGGCGTGCCTGACGTATAACTCACGTTACGGTACAGCTTCAACCTCTGAGCATCGTTCAGCAACAGCACCGACACGTTTCGCTTCCCCACGCAGTGCGGTGTCCCCCCGGGCAGAGGAAGGGTGGCAGCAGGGGTCAGGCGCCCCCCCCCCGGACGCCCCTGCCGGCCGGGAGGAGCTGGGGTAAGCGCTACGTCCCCAACACGCCCTTGCCACCCTGGGAAGAAAGCATTGCTACCCTGGGGTGGTCCCAAGGGGGTCTCAGTGGCCCCGAACCCAGAGGAAGGAGCCTGCGAGAGCGTCTCACCCAGCCCCAGCGAAGGGCTGCAGGGATTAACGTGCCGAGAGCAAACACGAAGCCGCTGTTAAATCCCGGAGGCCAGGGGATTGGATCGCCGCTTCCCGTGTTTATTTTAAGGAAGAAGCGCAGCTCCTGTAGGC